CTTAAGGTTTCTTTAATTTTTTTTATCGCTTCATTCAAACGTCTTTTGTCTTCACGATTTCTTGTTATTTGCCAAATTCGTCGCAATTTACGTTTATGAAGTAACTGTTCCTTTATGCCTCTGTCTATGTGCTCTTCTTTGTATTCATTAAAATGTATGGTTGAGTTCCACGCGGCATTCTGTACGGTTGTATTAAATTGCTCGAACGCAGATTCGATATCGGTACCGGTTTTGAGTGGGATGTTGGTTGGTAAATTTTCATTTATGATGCTTCTGAAAATACTTCAGTCTGTACTTTTGTTGTATAATCAAGGCTCTTTGTTCTTTACAAAAATTTTAGAGGTCTACTCCATAATAACGGGAGAGTGGTCTGAGGAAAGATCTAAACTGAAATGAATCGATAATAGTGAGCTTGAAATGCCTTTAAATATGCAAAAATCGATCTCGTCTGGAACATTATTGTGGTCTGTTGGCCAGTAAGTTGGTTCACCAGTTGATGCGTGAAGCAAAACGTTGGCCTGCATAGTCTTAAACAATTCGCGGCCTCTTGGTGTGATTAGTCTGGAGCCCCAGTAAGTATGCTTTGCATTGATGGCTTCTTTGGTTGAAGTGGGTTTCTGATATAAACATAATATCAATATTTTTGTCAGTGAGGAAAGTCTGTAGTTCGCTGCTATGTTGAGCTAGCCCATTAGCATTCCAGAAAGCAATTTTAAACGCACTCATTATTTTGAAGTATTAGCGACGAACGCTGTTAAAATATTTAGCATAGTACTCATTTGTTGCATTAGTGTTTTAAGCATTATTTTCAGCTCTGACATATCATTGTTTTCTGATCTTGTTTGTGGTTCACTAGTGATGGTTTGGCCATTACTTACGACATTAGAGTATGTTCGACCAGCTTGAACGAACTGTATGCGCGTTGGTGGACTAGTGGTTTCTTTTCTACGGAGAGGTGGAAACGCTTTTTGTTGAAGCTGCCTGTATACTTCACAGCCCTTGTAATTAGGGGGTGATTTCCGTTGCATTTTACTTCATTGTCGACTACATTACGAGTACACTCTGATGTCAAGTGATTACCAGGGCATTTTACACAGCGGGGCGTTCGTTTACAGTAATGCTTTGTGTGACTATAACGCTGACAACGAGAGCATTGGGGAATTTCGCGTTTTTTTCTTGGAGCTTCAAAAGTAATTTTTGTATGCAGTAGGCTGTTACAATTGAAAATACTCTTGTTTGTATCTGACGGTTTCAAACCAATAAAAAATAACGGAAGTGGATTTTTGGTTGTTCGTTGATGTATATTACTTATATTGGCCACCTTAAAGCCTAAGCTATTTATCGCCTCTTCGATTTCACCGACTGGCGTAGAAGGATGCATGCCTCTCAATACAACGTTAAAACTTCTGTCTTGTTTGAGTTTGTAGGTATGGAACTCAGTTTTTTTGGCTTCAAGAGCCTTAGTGATTGTAGAGTATTTTTCTGGGCTACTAGGCTGTATTTTAACCTCATTGTTGGCAAGTATTTTAAAGTTATATTCGTTAGGGGCTATTTCATTCAGAAGCTGCCTTAATGGTTGTATATTACCGACTCCTGCAACAAATATTGATGGAGGCTTTGAGATTGTGGTTTTTTCATTTTGCTCAATGGACTTTTCTGATGAATGAGAGTCTTCATCTAGCACGGAATATCGGTTAGAGTTTTTTTTGGGTTCAGTTGACAACCAATAGGTATCCAGCTTCTTTTGTTTGATATTTGAACTTTATCGAGCTCCTTGGGAACTTGAACGACTTCTTTTTGACGAGTTTACCCGTTGCCATTCTGGTTGCGTTGTTTCACCAAATCTTTTTGTACAAATGGAAGTGTTTGTTGGCGTGCTTTTGACGCTACTTACCGATTGAGTGTCGCTTTCTTCATCACCAGTGTATTTCCACATTTTTTTTTTGGCTGGAATTGGTGTTGTTTGCGTTTTTTGATGAGAAGCTTGTTGGATTATTAATTAATTTTATTTTATTAGCTATGGCAATTTCACTAGCTATTTTTGATATTTTTTCCTTCAGTAATTTCTTTATGTAAAGGTTTGGTTGTGAATTGTTCATTTATTTTAACGTCCTCTGTACTTAGCATTATATAGCCATTTAGGCCATTTTCACTAATTTGAGAATGCCGCCGTATGACTTTTTCGCTCATATAATAGTTTTCAATATATTAGCAGTTTGTTCATTTAATTATTTAAAATTTAATACATATAATTAATAAAATTTATTTTATTTAAGTTTTTTTGTTTTTAAAAACACTTAAACTTATACTGTGGCAACACCACATTTACAATTTTTAACTTTCGTTAACTTTCATATGCCGTCTCTATCAGCAATTGTGAGCAAACTCAATTTTTGTTTTTGTTTATTTTGCAAAAGTAAAAAATTAATTTTGTTAGAAAGAAATTTTTAAATTACAAAAACTGAACTTTAGCGTTTAATATCGGGCACCGTTTTTAACAATTCCGTTTTACTTACAATCAATAGCTCGATTGTTCATACATTGAAATTTAAAATTAGCTTTTTTCCGATTAAAAAAACAAAACAATTAAAAGAAGTTGCGGAATGATCACCTTGCGCGCCAAATATTTTGAGCAAATGTTATATGCACCAGTAAAAGTGTTCTCTAATTTTTTATTTTTTGTAAGATTTTTCACAACTATTTTTTGACCTAATTCATAATTAGGTGTATCTATTATCTTTTTATCATAATACTTGCTTACTTGCTTTTTAATGTTCTCTGTTTATGTTTGCATTTAATTAATATTATTTTATATTTTTGTTTTTTTGTTATGATATTTGGTTACATGTGTTTACATATTATTTGGGCCAACACTGCGACCAGTCATTGACCAAAGAAAAGTGCAATTTTGCATTATCAGGTTTTCTTGTTGGTCAATGCACTGAAGAAAGTGTGTAATATGTTGGCCTATAATTATGTCAGCACAGCGTAGGCAAATTTATTTATTTGTGAATTATGCATTAATATTTATTGTCAATTAATGCATAATTTAATAGCTTTTTTATAAAATAATTTTGTACAAATAGAAGAATTAATTTTAATTAAGTTCAGAAAAAGAAACGAAATACAAACCAATTATAACTTTCACTTCTTACTTTCTCGCATCGATTAATTTGGGTTTCAAGTGGTCAAACTAATCAACATAAAAACTACAAGTAGTTTGGGTTACAAGTGCTCAAACTATTTTACGCACAAAAATTGGCTACCAAGTTAACACAGATTAAGGATCTGGGTTAGCACCAAGTAGCGTACATTTTTTGGTGATCCCGACGAGATTGTTGATAAAATATCAGCTTTCATTTTGTCGAAATACATATCGAATGAGTCAATTACCTACAAAAGGACACACCAAAAGGAACTTTCGGACCGAAAATTCAAACATCGCCATGGATGCGTTATAAAAGAAGCAGTCAGAGCTCGGTACAGGGATTGAGCGACTGATAACCAATTTTAAAAAGGACTCCAGTATCCGGAAGCAGGATTCCATTTAGTATGAAGACCGACTAAAGAAGCTAAATTCCCTATGGAATGATTTTGAAATAAATGATGCTGAAATCAAAGCATTGCCACAACCTGAACTCGAACACGAGTATTTCAGTGCAGACTATTTCAAAAAAATCTCCAATCTAGTAGTCAAATATGATGAACGATTCAAGTTGGAGAAATCAAGGCTAATCCCAAAACCTCAGGACGGGAAGCCAGTAGTAAGTCCAGGGTCAAACAAAGCTACATCGCTCATGCGAACCATGCAGAAGCAATCCTCATTAATGAATGCATTACGCACAAGCATAGATGAAATATATGAAGAAATAACCATAAAACATCATGCTAGTTATTATGATCTGAAGTATTCTCTGATAGAAAAATATCAGAAGGATCTGAGGGATAACAATGATGAAATATGGTCATCAGCCGACGCAGAAGACATCGTCGGATATACTTGGGATCAATACTATTCAACGGATAAAGATGCCCAAAATGCGTTGATATATTTAAAACAACACAGTCAACCAACTGAAGGATTGACGTCAGAGAGGCCTGCAGCAACTCAACAAATCAGACTTCCAAAAATAGTTTTACCAACACTTGATGGAGACTATTTGAAATGGATTTAATTTAGAGATTAGTTTCAACAATTAACCCATGATCAATCATTAAGCGCAGCCCACAAAATGTTCCATCTATCTACAAACTTGGCGGGTGAGCCAAAAGCCCTCATACGGCATCTGCCAATTTCCGAGCAAAATTACAATATAGCTTGGGATATTCTGCCAAATCGGTATGATAACAAACGACTCTTGGTGACAGCATTACTAAATAAATTGTTATCACAACCAAATATAACAATTGAATCAGCAAGCAGTCTTAAGGGCATACATGATGTTACAAAAGAATGTTATTATGGATTAGCAGCTCAAGGTATTGATGTTAAATCTTGGGACGCCATAATGATTCACGTAATTATTAGAAAGCTAGACAAAGCTTCACATACAGCATTCGAGCAATCGTTAGAAGACAGCCGAAGAATAATTTCATTAAAAGAATTATTGCGGTTCCTAGAAGAAAGATTTCAGGCATTCGAATCAATGACGAATGGAAACCACAAACAAAATCACAAACCACGACATCCAGCAGTAGCACTTGCAGCTACAGACTCAGGATCAAAATGTATTACTTGCAATAGTAGTCATCAATTATTTTCATGTGAAACTTTCAAACGTAAATCCATACAACAGAAGTATGATTTACTAAAACGTCATAAATTGTGCACAAACTGCATGAAACCTGGTCATATGACATTACAATGCTCCAGCAGGGGTTGTACTATATGCCAAAGAAGACATTATACACTGTTGCATCAAAATAGACACCCAGTTCAACCATCAAATCATAAGTTAGTTGAAAACACTTCAAGACCACTTGCACAAACAACTCTAATGTCATCCATCAATCATGGTCATACCAGTTGCGTTCTTTTGGGAACTTTTAGCCTCCAACTCTAATGGAAGTACAGTCGAGTGCAGAGCAGTACTGGATTCAGGTTCACAAATAAATATTGTGACTGAACGACTGGCATCCAGATTGGGTCTGCAAG